CTAAGAACTATGCACACTAACTCTCAATTCGAGCCTACATTTTACATAAACACCTTCTATTCAATAAAAATGACATTTTTGCCATTACTTTTTTTTTTAATTACAAACAGGAATCAACCAGAGAATGAATTATAATATTAATACCAGTGTCAAATCGTTAATTGTTCTTAATTACAACTCTTCGTGTAAGGGTGAAGGGGGGTGGGTGGGTAGAAGATATATATCCACTGTGATTAAGTTTAAACATCACCAGATTTTAAACAAAAGTTTTAATATTTTTAATTCTCATAGATATGGATAAATGATCCTTCATTTTTTTTTATTTTCACTTTACTTCACTAATATAAAATAATTTATTTTTATCTGTGAACATACTGCAGCTGTTTGTCTCCGTTTATGACGAACAACGTAGCCAAATTAAAACTTACAGCTGATTTTAATCTGATTGATCAATATAGTTACATGTACCTGGGAGTATGTAATTGCAATCGGTAGCGTATGCATAAAGCAAATTGTAAAATTTTTGCTTTGGGATTAAAATAAAAAGACCTACAATATTAATACAAGTTTACACGGTCTCACTATTATACATGAATGAATTTAAATTTAGTCCATTCCATTTTTCCCTATGAAGGTTTCACAAAGTACTGCACATGTCTTCTATTACACGGTTTATCACTTTATTATCACCTATGATCCCCTTCTCACATCAATTTTCAATGCAAAATGAACACCAACTAACTGTGACATGTGGCATCTACCATAAATAGTCCAACCAGGGCAGGTAACTGTTTGATCCACTTTATATCCATTACCCAAAGTAATCCTTTATCTCTATTTAGTATTTACTAAGAGACGAGAAGCATTGTTATTAAAATATGTTAGTGTGTGGATGGAAGAGGGGGGGGGGGGGGTTACCGATGAGTAAAAAAGGAAACGAAACTTAGGCAAGGAATGTGTAAACAAAAATGGAGGTGGCAAATGGAGCAGCCTTTGAAAATGACCTTACTTAAGAAACCCTAAAAGACTATTCTCGTGTGTCAACCTTCCTAAGAAAAACTGAGTGCATCACATTGAGTCCAGTTTGAGTCACAATCTTGATCATGTTATCTTTGCAGGATTATATGTATTTGTTTAATTGCTTAATCTACTGATGAGCCCGAATGGGGCGAAAGCGCAATATTAATTAAAGTTTGAGTTTTCATTTTAAATTTGGATTTCGTTTCAATGTTAAAGATCTTCAATATTTTTAGGTGGTAATATCAGTACAGGCTTATGCAAAGCAAATTCACCAAACTTTTTTTCAGGGAACTAAGATAAAATTCATGCACTGGGAACAAAATGTTTAGATGACAAACACTTCGCATTTTCTAGTGCAAACCGGCATGGTGTCTTTCTAATCACGGCCAAAATCCACTTTCAATCTAGAGACTACAGGCGGACTCTGGACCGTGGCTTGCGTGTTGATTATCGATGTACTTAGGCATTCACAATGAACGCGTATATAATAGTTCATAGGTGACATATATTAGACTTGCACTTGCATGCAAATGTCTTTTCTCGGACTTGGTACTTGTATAAATATATTCATAATAGATATCAATTTCCGAGAACGTTTTACAGTTCTGTTAAAAAATATATTGCGATACAATTTGAACCTGCGATGTAAAGAGAATGGTTATTGGAGGGGGTCCTTCTCATTATGGTTTACACAGACAAACAATTTTCATGCAATTCAGTGGCAGCATCTCTGTCTGTGTCTGACAAAACACCATTTCTTTATTCAAAGTCGCAGTAGAAAAAAAAAACGTAATCTGAATCGCTACACAAATTTACAAATCATAAGCGTCGGAACCGGGGGAGGGGGGCTAGGGCCTTTTTTTTTTTGCAAAAATAGCCATAATATAGACAATGAACATTGGAGCGTAGGTTTAGAAAGAAATTGTACTGAAAGAAGTTCAATATTAACCCCCACACACACACACACACACACACACACACAAAATAGGATTTTCGTGAAGGACGAAGGACTATTTTTTTCGCTTTTCAAGTTTTTGGTATCTTGAATATTTTTTTTTCCTTTACTATGCCCCTTCCACTTTCAATTTGCTTCCGACGCCAATGCATATTCTACCATTGTATGTCCCACTTCCCTACCCTACCTTATATGTAATGCCCATTTATTCTACGATAAATGGACGAACTCATGATACAAATCACTGCAAATAACTGCTTCGAAAAGCAAAAACATAATTATAATTCTCTTAAAGACATATCATTGAACTTGAAAAAAAAATTCCACGACTCTGACATTGTTTACTTTCTAAAAATAATTCTAATTATCCATTGTTTTTTAGGTAATATTACGGAATTAATACTTGATCAAGTCCCATTATTTTGAAATGAAGCTAAATACGACCAATTGTTTGTTTCTGATGTCTTAGTATAGACACAAATGTATAATTTAGGAAGTCTCACATATCCAAAATTAAGTTAAAATTTCGGTAAAATATCGGAACGAAGTTAAGGTTACAGAAGTTATTTTTCAAGCTTTTATAATAAAAATTAAAATTCTCTGCGGTAGTTAAAATCAAAGCTTGTTTTAGGATATACACTGTAAAACAAAAGAATGAAGAATTTCGCTCCCCAAAGAATGAAAAAAAAAACACTACACGCCCGGCGGCAACAAAGTTCGAAAAAGAAACTATTTTTAGCATATTGGTCACAGTCTAGGTCAAAGTCATTGACCTTGGAGTCATTTGAAAGAACTTGATTATTGGAATGTGCATACCAAATATGAAGTCTCTATCTTTCATGGTTCAAAAGTAATAGCGAATGTTAAAGTTTGCAGAGAAAACTATTTTTAGCATATAGGCCACAGTCAAGGCACAGGGTCATTGTCCTTGGTATTATTTGAAAGAGCTTAATTAGTGGAGTACGCATACCAAATATGAAGTCGCTATCTTTCATGGTTCTACAGTTATGTCGAAGGTTAAAGTTTGCAGACAAACAAACAGACAGACAGGACAAAAACAATATACGCCTCGGATCTACCGATCCGGGCGCATAATTATATCTGTCACGCAAATTCCTTCCTGAATTAACATTTCGGAAGTAAATGTTTTCCTTCAATGATTTTTTATATCTAAAAAGCCATTGTCTTAAAAATAAATAGCTGACTTGCAACTAGAATTATAATGATATAAGGTTTTTTGGTCAATTTTAGTTTGTTTTTTTTTTTTGGAAATCTGCAAATAATCTGTCCGTGAAATTGAGACTAGAGCAAACTCATTACTGAAGTTAATTGGTTTTTAGCGATATGCTATGATTACTTATTAAAGAAGATCCATACATGTATTTCTTTTTCGAGAAGTGGTTTGATTTACTTTCATTCAATATTTAAAAAAAAAAAAACTTATTTAACACTCATCGCAATCTTTTAGGAACGCTTTTACGGCTGAGAATCCCGTCTTGAAATTTGTAAATAAATAAAGCGACATTAAGATTTGCAGTGAAACACGTTTTCAACATTAGGCCGACATATCTAAATTTTAACTACATATATATCGAACAATAAATATTTAAAAAAAAACCATGTGTGTATGTTATATCTTAGAGCTGAAATCGATCTTTAAATTTATTATAACGGCTTTGTAAGTGACATGAAAAAAAAAAAAATTGTCCATGCTTGTTTTTGTAGAATGACTGTTCCGTGCTATGTCTCTCCCTGTGTATATAACAAGTTAACAACAATGGCAACAGAAAGGGAAATAATTCAAGCGAAATTAAGTTTCCCAATTTTTACAGATTAAATATCACAGTGCATATTCGTTATTTTATTTTCATGTTCCTATACATTCATTTTATATATTGAATATTTATATAAAGATAGGGATAAGAAAAAAATCGCGGCAGTTAAATGCAGTTTGTGCGGTAGCAAAAAAAAAAAAAAAAAAAACAGGTATATCTTTCATCGAAATTTTAACACCTAATATATGTTTCTTCGTTGTGACAGCTTTTCCTTTCAAAGTACTTTTAAAATACTATAGACCAAGCACTCGAAAAAACATTTATAAGCTTAAATTGTATATTTTCTTTTAATCTTTAATGGTAACGACAAAACCTAATTTCTTGATTGATTATTCCCACAAGATGTAGGAATGACACAAAATTTGACAGGGATTTCTGAAACAGTCGGTGCGCGAAATTAAATCGGGGCGTTGGGTCAAGAACTGTTACTATATAAGTATTCTAAAGCTAAGGAAAATTCCCTTTATTGCATGTTTTTGGCTCAAAACGTCTCGTATATTAACTATTTTTTACAAATAATTTATTTAAAAAAAAATATGTTCCATATATTAAAAGAATCGATTTATTTTACACCGAGCTTATGAAAGATTTCATTGTGTACATGCTAAACGTAAGATGACGTCATAGTGCATTTTTTTGCTTTACTTGAAAAAGTTCCAATATTCAACAGCAAATATTTCTGTAACGAATGCTCGTACCTTTCAATGTCCAATATAGAAAATATAGGGAAAATTCCCACCTTTTAGGTTATGGCATTCATTTTTTTATCGTGTGCTGTAACTGAGATACAGCTTACAGAATATAGCAAAAAATCACTCATTTGTGGGTAATTTTACTAACTTCCTGCAATTATATTCAATGTTCAATTCCAGTTTACGACAATTTCTTAACATCGCAGAGAAAAACTGAAAATAGAAAAATTGTTGTGTTTCTTCTCTAGTTTCAGAAAATATCAATTGTTTCGTTGTATCCCAATTATTTACAAAACGCCAACAGTTAAATCACTGTGATGCTGAAAATGCGTCAAAAGGCGCACTTGGCCGTTAAGGGGTTAACATAACTGAAGGGTGTCAAAGATTTTGCTTTCGTTAAAATAAAGAAATATACATTTACTTAAAGTAAAGAATAAGAAAATATTCTCAGTACTTGTAGTACAAATATATCAAGATGTTTCAGAAAAAAATACCAACCTGAGAAGTACACAAAAAACAATACCCAATTTTTATGATCAAACATCTCTCCGATTCATTTAAAAAATCTAGATAATATAAGGGGGAAATATATGATTTAAAAATAGGTTTTGTTTACTTCAAAATGGAAATAATACTTGTATATTTATTTTAGGAATTCTTAAAAATTTCCAATCGGATTTCCGTGTTAAGTTTCTTGGTCTAAATGTTTTAGTTATAAATATTTACATACATCATTGAATGCTATTATCCTTAATTCTCACTAAAACACCCATTTAGACTTTTTTTTCAATTTAAGCAAACACCCAGATAAAAATGTCCAGATCAGTGTATCCCCTACCATGAATTATATGGATATAATGGAAGTTTATATTCAAGCCTTAAACAATACAAAACGGAATCAAATATGGACCTAAAATATCCAAAGTTGGGTCAGGTTTTAATAAGGAGTTAGCACCTCTCAGCCAACTGGTAATATACAGGGATAAACATTTTTATTACACAATAATAAACGTTCATGTTTGAGATATTTTTTTTATATGATTTTATATGCAGTCAAGACATGTATATAATACAATTTCTTTCTATCCTTGTTGAAACAGGGTTTAATTTTATACTGCAGCTAGCGTAGGAGAGGAAAACATTACATAACCGCTGGCTATGTTTTTTTTTCTGCAACAGCTGCAACATGAGCTCTAAAAATAACGTTACAAAACAGAATTAGATAATAATCATATAAGTACCCAGCGAATATTTTAAAGAGCTTTGTATATAGAAAAAAATTATTTGGTATAGAAAGAAATATTCGAACAATATTGAGAATAACAAGGGAAAGCAAAATGTTTTTTTTTTTTTTGTCATCCATTTTTTATCAAGATTTTTATCATTTGAGAAAACCTTGAGGGGTTTGAAGCGTTGTAAGAAGTCAAAGCATACAATATCAGAATGTCTAAGCTGCAAAAGGGTTATATCTTAGATATTAGATTACACATCCTAATCAGTATTTCTTAAGTCCATCTTTCATCTTTTGATAGTTATCTATTTATAATTTAATTTAAATTTGTTTTTATTCTAGTCTCTTATTGGTTGATTACCAAAAGGGAACGCAAATAATTTCTTAATAACCTGGTTTGGTATGGGGACACACCCCCTTGACAACCAGCTAAATTATCTGTATCCATACAATCCCCCCATTTCCAGTCCTAGGAATTCATGGGAAATTCCAGATTTAATAGATGTACCTTTAACTTCAAACAGTGGCTCGATCTCACCTCGTGTACACAAACACCATGGCTGCCAGAGCTGTATATCAGTTATTACCTCCCCCTTTTTCATATCACTTCCGTTACTAGGAATGTATTATTGAGCAGTAAATTTGAACTAAAAAAAAGTAACATAATTTTACACCCACAGTTGTTTAATAAAGAACTATATGCGGTATATTGCATATATTTGCCCCCACACAAGTCAAATTTTGAAAACTTCCTGAAATGTGCTGAATTCAATAAATTGTATGAGAAATATAAATTAACAGACAATTTTATAGTTTAAAAGCAGTGTATTCACAATTTTTGTTTTTATGACGTCACAAACTAGTCCGATTTTATATCCTTTTTCAGGAAGAGGAAAAAATGGACAAAATTTCAACAATTTAAGCTTTAAAATTCATAGAGCGCAAGTTTGTTCAGGATTAGTATTGACATATTTCATTGATATTATCATTTTACACATTATATCAAAAAATTGATCCTGAACACACATGTGCTCGGTGACTTTTACTCAAAATATCGACGAAATATATACATTTTTCTGTAAAATTCATAAAAAAACTGAAATTTACGTCATGTTTGTGACGTCATTACGTACTTATGACGTCATTGCTTATGAAAATATTCAGTGCTTCGAAGTCAACATATACTCCCCTGTTTTACAACTTAATTAAATACATCTCCATCAAAGTTTGATTTGGGGGGCAAATATTGATTATTACCGAATAAAGTTCTTTTAAAATTAAATTATAAGGAATGACTCTATTTCTTGGCCAAATTATTCGATGATAACCTGGTTTGGGTCAGTTTACGCTTTTTTATAATACGCTTCGCGAATTATGAAGCGTAAACTGACCTAAACCAGGTTACTATCGAATAATTTGGCCAAGAATTAGAGTCATTCCTTAAATATTTTTAAAAATCTGTGATTTCACAATAGAGTTACGTCAATTCATGACACATTTAAATGATCATGACCAATATTTCCAATTTGAAAAAAAAAAATGTCAGGAATAATTACATGTTGTATTTTGACAGTTGAAATATAAGCCATACAAGTACTTTCATATTAAATTGTTTGCAATATGTACACTTGTAAAATACATCTCTGACCTGACTGTTTTGGTTAAGCGCTCCGTTATTTTTTTTTATTTATTTATTTTTTTTTTTTGGAATGCAGGGTTGCAAATTTCATTAAAAACATAATTAGTTATGTTCATATTCTTTCCCTTGCCTCTACAAATAAATAAAAAATTCTAACAGGTTTATATTATATAAGTAATATCATATTACTTATTACCTTTTAGCTACTTCAGGCCGGCGGGCGAGTTGGATATCGTACTTCGAAGATGGCTAAATCATTGTATTGACCGAAAAAAAACAACAATAATTGTTTTAATATACGATTCACTGATAAACCTGATACAGCTCATTAATTGTTTGCATTTAATTAAGTCCTAGCCAAATTCACGAGTGAAGCAGATTTAAAATGTAAATAAACCTTACCGGTCGTATCAATTGGAACTGTTGTTTTTTTATTATTATTATTTATTTTAGTTGCCATGAAAAAAGATTTAATGTCAGTCTTTTTTATACGATATATTTTGAAAGGAAGGATTCTTACCTGGGAAAACTACATGTACAATGTAACAGCCAAACAAAGTAAAAATTGTTGTTCAGTAAAAGTGTTAGAATGGGGTCCCTTCATCCCCTTGACCACTCTCAGCCGAAAATATGTATTCGCTTATGTTTTGTTCACATGAATAAAAAGAAATAGTCGTTAAGATAGCTTTCCAAAAATTTTATATCAATATGGAAATTCCAGATCTATTTTTAAATCAATATAGAGGACATAAATCTTTGTATTCACTTGGAACGTCAGGTGTAGGTATATACAACGCAGTGTTTCTTCCACATAGTTGGTTCTCAGCCAATCAGAAAGTTAGGAATTATTCAATCATATTATAACTACTTTTACTTAATTATTTCGATTAATGAAATATATGGAGTGAAGCATATGGTAATAAGGAGCAATATTTATGATCAAAAGTCTATAAATCAATACAAAAAAGGAACAGAGCAAACACGATCCTCCAAAACACCAGAAGTGGGATCAGGTGCCAGGACTGAGCATCCCCTGTCGTGTGCTCTTTGTCATGATCGGAATAACGGAAAATCCTTGGTCAATTCAGTGTATAATTAAAAGCATTTGACTCAATGATAAATTGTATTTGCTTAGATGGTTAAATCAATGTACTATCCATAGAACTTACGAAATGACGACTTTGAACAAGAATACTGATATTTTTTCCTTACCAACTTGTTTGACAATAATTAGCCTTCTTTTAGAAAGTTTCACAAGTAGAGCATGCTCTTTCGTATCGAATCAGCTTAGATGTATAAACTCTGCATGCAGGTGATCAAGGTATATTTCTGCATACGTAAGAGAAGTTGACGATTGAAAGGTTAAAGTCATCACGTTTATAATATATCTTTGTTGTTACATTACCATAAAAGACTTTTTCGAATAAAATAATTATGTAACAGAATAGTCAGACTCTGTGGTACATGTATCTTTATCTCAAGCTCACCAGGATATAATAAGAACCTGAAAATTAAGACAAAGTGTAGAGAGGGTCCATAAAAATTAAAAATGATATTCGAACATAATTATATCGTAATTCACACACAAGAATATAAATCAAACCTTCACATTTCGCAGATGTAAGAGAATTCGGAAATACAGTTACAGTTATATAGACCATATTGGTGAGTGGATTTGTGTTGAAAGCATCCACATAATTCATGTGTGAAATTTGGCTCACGAGGATACCACAGGGTCGAATTTATGTCAACAGTCTTTTTATTGGTCCATTGCCAGACGCCATCTTTATTCAGATCCTCCAATCCAATCCAGTAAAATGCTGTATGGATTAAAAAGAAAAGCTCCGTTAACTTTCAAATATGCTTTAAAACTCAACTTTATAGTGTTACTGACACATGTATATTAAAATATAATCAGAGAAAATCAATACATATATGCATTACCCTGATCTTATATATGTAAGGTACGAAAATATGACTACATATACACGTCTATGTATGTATTTCTCATTTTAGCTTTGATACTTCCTATTTGATAAAAATGATTGCAAAATTATTGCATTTCATAAAATATGCCTACATGCAAGTCTTTGTTATTTACATGCACAGACCAATTGCATTCAAAAAAAAAAAAAAAAAAAAAAAAAAAAATCCCTGAGATATATTTACATAATGGAACTTAAAAGACCAACACTTATAAATATGATAATCCGAATCATCAACATTTTTTGTAATATACGAGGGTTGTCCCGAAAAATCGTGGACAAGTTGTCTCGCATGAATAATAATCGTCACTGCATTCTGAAATTTTTACTACTTCTTAGTACATATTTTCTTAATAAATATAGAAAATTTCAAATAGATATATGCATAAATAAACGAATTATGAGATTTTATTATATGTATTGTATCGTCTTACGGCGCACGGATGATAACGTCAAAGTGCCTAAAACAGCGTCAGGTACCTCAAGTTTCATCTTTGCGCTAAAAATAAAGTTGGATAAGTCCCTTTTAAATTTCGAAATTTCATGGAAGCACATGCTTAAGTCTCCATTAACAATTGAGGAACCAATCTGGCACAAATGTACGATCTTTTGATGATTTATTAGTTAGATACGGACAGTATTCCAACATCATTCAACTAATAGACAATCTTATATTGACGCGGTCAACATTGACAGCGTCTTTAGCT